AGCAATAGTTGTCCCCGCAAAGAGCCACATCTATATCGATGCAGCTGCTCATGAATCTCTTTGGCAAGGTGCCAGTCGTGGTATTATTCACAAGATCAAACATAATTCTCTAGAAGATCTAGAACAAAATCTTCGTAGATTTGGCAGTGGAATCATTGTTGTCGATTCTCTATACTCAGCGAAAGGCTCGATTGCCAATTTGGTCCAATTATGTAATCTCAAGGAGCGGTACGATTGCCTGTTGGTAGTCGATGAATCTCACTCAATTGGATTGTACGGACCTCACGGTCGTGGTCTTGCAGCAATGGCAAATGTAACAGATCGTATTGACTTTATTACAGGTAGTCTGGCTAAGGCATATTGTGTTCGTGCAGGATTTATTGCCGGTCGTTCTCAAGAAGTATTATACGTGAGAGAAATATCATCACAGTCGATATTTAGCAGTGCACTTATGACTTGGGATTTGCAACGTCTTCGTCGTGCTATTTCAATCATTTACAATGCAGATAGTAAACGTAAACGATTAATGGATATTGCAACAGCTGTACGTCACGCTGCAGTGAGCTTGAAATTTGATGTTGAACAATCACCATTTCCAAGTCCCATTCTATGTCTAATTGGTGGACCAAATGAATTTTCGAAAAAACTTCAAATTTACTTTGAGAACGAAGGAATTTCAGGTGCCATATTCATCGCACCTGCTACACCCGCTACTCGATCTATCTTGAGACTTACACTGCATGCTGCTTTGTCAAATGAGGATGTTACACGAATAATTAGTACACTTGAATTGATTGCCCAATCTCACCGTGCTGATCTTCCGTACACATTTTTAAAGTATTAATTTCCAAATACGAATAACATCTTTAGACTTTTGATAAAGGAATAAATGAAACAGATCTTGACAATGAAATATTTGACATTTATTGGAATTTTATTAAATAAACTAACAATATTCTTACAACGTACATGTGTAAATACTTATTTCTTTTTGTAAAGGGGGGTCAGAATCTAAATTATTAAGACTCATATTCATACATGGTTTCTATTCAGAGAAGAAATTTACAGTATTCGTTATTCTGGACTCGTGTACAAAATCGATAAAAACAAATTGTCTTTGGAAACAGTCAAACATGTTGTTAGATGTTCGAAATGATATGTACAAAACGTAATTTATTCTGTTCTTCTAAACTTTATCTCCTTATCATAATTTCACAAATGAAGATACTGAAATCAGATACGATTAGTCATTTCTTACTTACCGTTTAAAGAGAAAGATCGAAAATATTTGAGAATGAGAGTGAAAGATCAGCTACGATGATCGATTTCGTTTAGACTAAAGGACTTTTCAAATTGCAAATAAATGAAAGAATTTTTTGATTTTGAAATTTAAAATAACATAAAATATGAAATAATATAAAAATTCAATCATCAATTCTCTCAATTTTAACTGAAACATCATTCTAAGAAATCTGATGAATTTTCAAGAATATTAATCGTTTATTAGAAGAATATGTGAAAATTTTTCAATCAGATCTCTTTTTTTATCCAAACAACTTCTGAATAATTTTCTATATAAAATTGGTTTTAGACAAATGAAATGACAAATATTCTATTATTGATAAGATTTTTCTTAATTCAATCTTTGTTAACTTCATGAGAAAAAAAACTTTTTTGAATACAAATTTTTCTCAGATATTTTNGATCAATGAACCAATATCATTTGACATTTATATCATTTATGTATGACCAAGAAAAAGAAACGAAGAAAGAAAAAAAAGGAAGGTTTTTGATTTAAAACGAAAGTTGAAAAGTTTCATGTGACTTGATTTGAATGCCTTTCTCATCGCGGCTTTTTTGGGAATGGAAGAACCATCGAGAATCCATCGGCGAATAACTAGAACATCTTCATCGTTCTTATCGAAGATTTGATCAGTTGATACGTATCAACTGTGTCTTTTGTCACATTTGGCCCGTTCTTTTTATACAAAACGAATCTCAATGAAAGTTCCATTTCGATACCCGAAAGGCAAATTATAAATCGGATGGATTTCCTTGAAATAATTTGATTAAAAATTATTCATTTCCATCGGGTAATCGAAGTTTCACATCAGAGACGAGAAAGAATTTACTTGATAATACATTTCAATTGATCTGTTTATATGAAAATCTGAAATTTCTCAATATTTATTTGATTATCTAGCAGCTCTTGAATGATATTCTTTCGACAGCGAGTAAAATTCCGAATAAAGAGCAACAATATCTCGATGTATTGTACCAATTCAACTGAAAACTAATGAAATATATCCTAGACAGATGTTGATGGATATTTTTTCCTTTTTGATTTATCTAAATAAAGCATGCTTCGACTATTTGTTGTTGATTTTCGCTCACTATAAGGCAATCTCTATCGGCCAAGAGTGAATATCGTATGAATCATCATTGACATTCTTTCATATAAAGAATTCGTATCTGATATATTCGAGGATGACCTTCTGGAATCGGTCACTAGTTCAACACGATGTAACTGTTATTTGTTCGTTCGATGCACTTAATTTTGCCCGATTGCACGTGTTTTTCCGAGAGGAACGATAAAAATTCAGTCAGAAAGATAGCGAAAAACACAATTTACATTCAAAATACTTTCCTCACTATTCATACGACAACATTAACATCGTTTTTAAGTAAATTTCACTAAATTCGCCGTTTGGATTCGTATCCATATATTTAAATAATCATGTGCGATTCCAATAACATTAAAATTAATGACGTAAAGATGGATCATTATGACCTTTTCATGGGATCCCTAGGAACATCAGGTAATTTAATTTCCCATCGGGTGAAAGACATTAAAACGAGACTTAAGTTGATAAATTTCATTTTAACAAAGATTGAAGCTGATAAAGAACAACATCACATTGCTTTTTGTTATCATTATTCAGTTGGAAATAACTTGAATTTCCACACATCGACCATACAAAGGCCAAAATTAACGCAAATTTGAAGATCTTCGAATGTCTTTTGTCCACTAGAATGACAAGCGAAAATATCAACTTCAAATTATTTAATGCGTACATTCGTCCGTACTATCAATCGGCAAGAAAGATCAACTGGAAGGTCTTAACCAAAAAAATATTTCGATGCATATACAACTGGTACGACACCAGAAACACTGAAATCATGCTTATTATGACCAAATATCGATCAATAGCCGATTTAACCTCGATACATTGGAGCAAACTAATGGAAACAATCATAAGAACAAATTCAAGTATGTTACAGGACTACTTACAGCACAGGATGGCTATTTTATACCTGCAAGAATATATCAATAACCTGGCCTTAGCTAGGCAAAGAAGAACCATATTCGGCAGAGGTCGTACCCGTAAATACATGCGTAAACTAATGTTAGAAAATCAACCGACTCTACTCGATCACATTCTGACGTTTCCCATCTAAATCGACGATAAACAGCCAGGCACTGCTTCACGACTTTAAACTTCAGATTTGGATAAGCAACGCAATAAATCACACTGCACGATTTCGTTCATACCGATTCCCTCTTTCTTTCATGAACTTTTCGTGTTTCTTCTTTCTCTGTCTTCTTCCCTCAATCGCGTCTATACGCGAAATCTATTCTATCCCTTTTCTTCTCTTCTCGCACACGTGTTTTTCTAGTCACATGGATTAGTGGCAAACTGTCCACAGTGAGTGTATACGGCATGTGTGTGTCGTTTGCTCTCGTCTAGTTGTTTTTTTTTCAGGTTACAGAAGCGATGTTTCCTAAGGATATTAGCTTTAATAAAAAAATAACTTGAATTTGATTTAATACATATACCAAGATTCGCATGAGAACTTGAATATAAATATTTGGTTTTATCTTTGCTAAAAATCGAATTTTTGACTCACTTATAGGACTTTGTGCATGCATTAGTTTCATCATTATTCTTGGCAATGGAAAAGAAGTATTTGTTGAGCACCGTTCAGACGATTTCTTTCCAGAACTGTTCACAAGAGACAATTTTCGAACATCCTTGGAAATGGTTGTGGAACACATCATCGCCAGCGAGGGAAAAAACGAAATAACGTAAGATTCGAACATAAGACTATAAAAGAAATCATTGAAATTCTCGATAAATTTTCAGATAAATATATAGGAATCGAAATGATAAGCAATAATATCTCTTTTCTCCAAATTTGATGACTTTTCATCAAACAGGATTGATGAAAGCCATTGTTATTTATAGAAATCGTGACTGATGTCGATCGTTATGATTTCATTTTTTAATTGTGAGGAAGCAAAATCATTGAGAAAACCGTCAATAACGAGTTTTACTAATTTAGAATTTCATTTTGAGGTGGAAATTTCATGTGTATCTATCATATGAATACACAACGATTATCGAATGTAGTTCTTGTCCGATTTTTAGATCGGTTTTTATTCTCGGTGAAAACAACGCGAAACGATTTGGAGAATTGCAAACGTTTGTGCAAGAATCGAGAAGCGCTGTACTGTATCCGACTCAGATTTCGACGGATCCAGTCGCCGGAATGGTCGACCTGAGATGATGGTGAACGGCAAACTTATCAGGATTTGTTGAAAAATATTAAGTTATCTAATTGTACCTTCAATGCCCGCGGTATACCAGAAGAAGAAGAAGAACTAACAGGTGAATGCAGTCTAGACGTCATCGTAGATTTGGATAATCTGAACGAGCAAAGACTTGTTTTGCTCCAAAGAATAAAAGAATTAATTAGTTGGAATGTTTTGACCGCCGTAATGATCTTCAATATTCGAACCGGTGATGTTCAATATGCTTTGCAATCGATCACGGCAGGTATGCACAAAATAAAGCTATTCTGCTGAAAAGCACTTCGTTGGCAGTTTCTGTAACTAGCCCAGCATTAGCATAACATTGTTTTACAGAAGAATTAAAATCTAAATTCCTTTTCTACTCATTGATGAGTGTTTTTTTTCAAATATACCTACGATAATTATTTGTATGTATATAGGGCCATCTTTGAAATTTGTTGAATATTGCAACAAATGTATCGATCACTTCCAGACCAGAGATGGGCAAGTCAGTGTTGTTTCGCCGCAAGTCAAGTCAAGTCATTTTTTGAAAATCTCCAGTCATGTCAAGTCAAGTCATACTAAAATTGATTGATTGCGAAGTCAGATAACCTATGAAAACTGAAAAAGACTTTCAATGTATCCAAATCTTGTCTTTATTTTTAGGTATATCTTACTCGGAGAAAATAATTGTGGATATTATTTATACTTTCTTGTTACATTTTCAAATTTTAGACAGAAAATAAAAGTGCATACAAGATTTTCATGCGATCTATGTTTAGAATTGATTTGACTTGTTGAATCGGTCCAAGTCCCAAGTCAAGTTAAGTCATTTCTAAAAAATCTCAAGTCAAGTCAAAAATGACTTCACTTGCCCATCTCTGCATGACGTAGAACAAGAGTTCGAAGTCGACTTGCATCAATCATTTGACGAATATCTTTTTTCACAAAATTCAATTTGAGGTTTTGATTGATTCAAATATGGTTCTTTGATACATTTTTCATGTTGTACGGTTATATACAAATATTGAAGACACGGCATAGCATTATTTTGAAGAACAAATATAATTTCAAATGGAAATTGGACGGTCAAAGTCAATTGTACAGTAAGTGGTCAATGAAGATTTTTCAGTTCAGGTATCGAGGGCTATTTTTTGTTTTCATTATGACAATCTTCATAGATAAATTCAATTTCCTTCTCAATAAGCATAAAAAGCAAAAGAAGAATCTGAATTGTTGAGAATAACTTTTCGTAAAAGAAGAAGAAAATTTAGGGTGAGAAGGATCTGTTGAAATCGATTGTTATTAATATGAAAAAAGGCATTGAAGAAATCAAAAGATGATAAATAATTGAATATGTACAAATATAATTCATTTGGTAACGATTCGAATTTAGAAATATTCATCTCACTGGCGACTGTTTGAAAGACATTGACATCTTGTTTATACATAAGTCATAATGAAAAACACTCCAATCATATTCATGCTCTATCAATGTTTCGTAATGATAATCTGAATGTTTTTCTATTCGTCAAAATGGAACGATCATCTTTCAAGAAGGAATTGATTCTTTGTTTAATAATGCACTTATTCGAACGGAGAAAAAAGATGACAACCCACATCATATCTGGAAGTATTAGTCTATCATCAGCTGTTCGCCTCACAAGAAGAAATTCGAAGAGAAAATCCTTTATGAATGGCGACTGATTGTACGAATTACTTCTACTTCTCATTGTTTGATTCATAACTCTAATCCTTCGTTAAATATTCGTTCTAAAGTAGAAATAGACGAAAGAAAACCCCGTATATCTTCTATAATAGCAACGAATAGTACTGAAACAGAATTAATATTCTACGGGACAACTGGTAGAAAAGGAAGAAACGAATGTTTTTTTTTATCTAACAATGTCGTTTGAAGACAAAAAATGTATTCGGTCATCACTGGACAGCTGTATAACTCTAAAAGAGAATTGAAGAAACCACCACACCCTCATATGTTTGATCAATTCCATGATGATTCATATTCAAAAATGTGTATTATATGTGAAGATGTAAGAGAAGTAACTTCTAATAATCATGCACAAATATTTGGTTTTAACACATTTGATCGATCATCAAAATTCNTCATCAGTTTCTTCCGGAATTGGTGAACCATCGAGAATCCATTTTCGAATAATGGAAATATCTTCATCATTTTTATCGAAGATTTGAGAAAGAATTTCATTATTTTCAATGGATTTGATCAGTTGACACGTATTAACATTGTCTTTTGTCACATTTGATCCATCCTTTTTTTCAAAAGAAAAGAAAAAAAAGAATCTCAATGAAATCAGAAGAAGAATTTTTACCGAAGGAAGATTCCATTTTGATACTCGAAAGGCTAATAATAAATCAGATGGACTTCCTTGAAATAATTTCAACAAAAATTCTTCATTTCCATCAGGTAATTGAAGTTTAACATGAGAGACGAGATTTTCAGTTAATTTCCTTCGTTTTAATATCAATGAAAGCATTTCATTCAAAGTTGATGGTGATAAAGAAATGATCCATCGTGATATGATCGATAATTCATCAGCAGTGAATACCTTTTAGGAGAAAAAAAACAAAAAGAAGAAATAAATAAGAAGAGAAAATGATTTTTACTTGATACATTGGTCCATTAAATGAAACAACATGATTAAGAAATCGACTTTGTCGGGGATTTCCTTTAACAATCCATTTAGAATTTTCAAGTTGAGAACAAATTTGTTCAGCTTGATTTGTTCGAAATAATTCATTTAATAAAGGATCACCAGGAGAAATTCTTCGATTTCCATGAATTGTCTTTGCGAAAAAACTTTTCTTTTCAATTAATTTTATAAATTCTTCTCTTGGTGATAACACTTCACTTTGATGAAATAAATTTCTTAAATCATTCCAAATTTCTCCTGTTGTTCCATATGCAACATATCTTTCAAATAAAAGAAAAACAAAAGAATTTCTTTTCGAAAAATGTTTGTTTACCCAATCCAAATTCTTTTCCAATGTTGTTTAACAGCATCTAATCCTTGTTTTTCATAAATATCATCGAGATATTTCTCAACACAATCTCTCGCATATTGACCATGACCATTACAATTGTTATCAATTGTTGTATGAAGAAGAGAAAATTTTGGATTTAAATTATATCGTTCAAGAAGTTTTCTTAAAGTTGAATGTTCAGCTGTTGATGTTGTTTCAAGCCACTAAATGAAATTTGAAAATCAATTTGGAAACTTTTTCTTTTTTAGAAAAGAAACATTCATACGAGAGTATAACCGAGAATTTCAGGATAGAATTTTTTGGGAAAAAGCGAAGTTGTTAAAGTTAAAAGAGGTTTTTGAAAACTAATGTCCATGATTTGTTTTTGACAAATAAATTCTTTTGAATAAATTGAAGGAATATTTAATGAAAGATCATTTAAAATATTTAAATAAACATTACAATGATTTTGTTTTTCATCACCATTTCCTAATTCATCAATAAATATTGAAAATAATTTGGCATCAATCGATGACATTGGTCCTTGTGGAACACCACGTAACCAAATTCCATCAGTTAAATGATATGGTTGACGTTGAATTAAATATGTGATTAAATGTAATTTCGTTTGTGCCCACCAATAACGAGATTCTGATGTCACTGGTTGACCTTCATCTAACCCTTTAAGAATAAATAATAAACAAATTTTGAAAATCTTCGAAAAATTCTTTTTCTTACAATCGAGATATTTCTCTTTGAATAATCTTTCATTAATGTAATCTAATTTTTCTTTTACTTTCTCTTTCTCATACTCAATATAAGTAAAATGATCAGGAAAATCACAATTATCTTCATGATCGGTCATCATATAGATTTCTGCTTGACGATGCATTCGTTCACTAAATTCTGCAAAACAGAAATCTTTTTTTTTTCAAACAAAAAAATTCAATAAATGAAGAAAACCTTTTGCCAAATGAATTTTATCATAATGATCTTCTTCATTTATAAAAAAATGAAAAAGTTCTCGATATGAATATTCATCAAGACTTTTCACATCGCATTTCTTCTTCTTCGACTTTTTCATTTGACAAATTGTTACGATTAATCCAATTGTTAAACATAATCCACTGAATATTTGTCCTCCAATGACCGTATTTGATAATTGAAACATGATTTTAGTTTTAGTTTTCTTTTGATTTTCACACCTTTATATATTCATCGATATGTTCCATTACATAATCAAGAAAAATGACGATTTGAAAATAATATACGCAGATTTTTTATGAAGCACTTAACTAAGGATGAATTTTCGATAAGAACACGTTTTCATCACACGTGACGTCGCTTCTTTCTTTTCTCTCAAAGTACATTCAAATACAAAGTATGAAGATAATTTCACTTTAAAATCAATTCAACGTCGATTTGTCCTTCTTGACCTTTGATCATCACGTTCTATCAGAGAATGTGTCGAAAACATCGTTTATCTTTTCTAATGAAAAGTATTTCTGATGATAATTGACAAATGTCAACATTAAAGAATCTTTTTCGGTAATTAGAGAAGAAGATAAAAAACAGATAATCTCTTTGATATTGAGAAAAGAAACTATTAGTTATGGAGAATCTTCATCCAGAAAAACAAGAATTTACAAAGAATTATCAAATACGAAGAAAATCTTTACAACCCATTGATCGACATCGAGATGAAATTGATTCTCAACAAAGAATTTATCTCAATGCAGGAATTGACTCGACTTGGTTTGTTTTCAACGTTTTTTCCAAATAAACTTAGTCATTCTTTTCTTTTCGTTTTCTAGTGGAATTAAAAAAATCGGTCGAGACAAATTCGCGTCGCACGAAAATCTCTCTTCGTAATATCAAAAATACGTTATGATACACAAAATTCTGCGAAATAAATAAAAAATAAATCTGTGAAATGTTTTAACAGATAACGAAAGGATAAAGGTCTTTGATATTTCCTTGAAAAAGAATTCAAGATTGAAAATAAATCGAAAAAGCGTTTTTTCTTTATGATTCGAAATATAAATTTTGCTGAAAAATTTCACAATAGCAAGAGAAGACTTAGCTCAAATCTTCTTTACTAAATAACTCTCGCTCAATTCAGAATTGAGTAGATATTAATGGTGAATTTAACTGATTTCAAATTTGATTCAAAGGTGAAAATTTCTTGTGTTTCTGTCATGAATACATGAACGATTACCGACTGTAATTCTTGTCTGATTTATAGATCGGTTTTATTTTTGGTGGAATATTCCTTCTGAAATAGAAATAGATGAAAGAAAACCCCGTATATCTTCTGTAATAACAACGAATAGTACTGAAACAGAATTAATATTCTACGGGATAACTGGTAGAAAAGGAAGAAACGAATGTTTTTTTTATCTAACAATGTCGTTTGAAGACAAAAAATGTATTCGGTCATCACTGGGCAGCTGTATAACTCTAAAAGAGAATTGAAGAAACCACCACACCCTCATATGTTTGATCAATTCCATGATGATTCATATTCAAAAATGTGTATTATATGTGAAGATGTAAGAGAAGTAACTTCTAATAATCATGCACAAATATTTGGTTTTAACACATTTGATCGATCATCAAAATTCAATGGATGAAGAAATGAAAGATTTGAAAACAAATCATCGATATATGAAAGAATGACCGTAACTATGAAGAATTGAGAAAATGAATAAAACAGTCGAATGAAATTCCTTTGGTTGAAATCAAATAAAAAAAAAGAAAATATCTTTTAGATAAATATGAAATGAACTGTAACAAGTACTCGAGATATATGACATTCATTTTAAAATTGACCAAGAAAAAGAAACGTTTTGTTTTTATTCAAAACGAAAACTGAAAGATCTTATGTGAGTTTATATGAATCGCTTTCTCATCGGTTTCTTCGGGAATGGGAGAACCATCGAGAATCCATTTGCGAATAATGGAAATATCTTCATCGTTCTTATCGAAGATTTGACAAAGAATTTCGTTGTTTTCAATCGATTTAATCAGTTGACACATATCAACATTGTCTTTTGTCACATTTGATCCATCCTTTTTTTTTCAAAAGAAAAGAAGAGGATGTTACCGAAGAGGAAACTGTTCGTATATCATCGTCACTAACAAATACGAGACTTCCTCGTGGAACTATCGTTATGATCTCTTCATCAGGAATGGAACATCAGATCTACGTCGTCGATTTGTCGTGAGTAGTCACAATGTTTCAAATGAGTCATTATTTGAGTTTACCAGTTGACTCAATCGAATAAAACACATTCGTGACAAGAATATCTCAGATGCATTAGTTTTTCGATCGGTGAGATACCATAATGAATACATGAAATCGAACCGCTGGCGTTTCTCATAAATATTGAATTTCTGACGTATGAAATGGAAGTGCGTCGGTTTTCGCAGAATATTGAATTATCGAAGATAAAAACAGGTTTCAAGATTTCACCGTATCAAATGACATTAAGAAATGCGCTCGCACGAATATTTCGAACTTTTCTCCTTTGTCCAATTCAGAGGGAACGATGCAAATGGTTGTGACACAAATCGTGGCATTTCCAAGCAATGAGAAAAATGAAAGATTGATGAAATATAAAAAGAATTCAAATTCTTTTCATTCTCCAAGAAATCGACAGTAGATCTGGAGTAACTGTTGGTTTTTCCTTTCTCGTTCATCTCCAATAGCCTTGAGAGACGTGTGGTTTCTTTCCCATTCTAAATACAAAGAGATCTCATTAGAAAACTTTTGTCAAGAAAAATTCATTGAAGAATGAATGTCACTCATCACTGAATGTCTTACAAACGAAAACTCGCATTAATCCTTTCTAATAATGATTATGAACAATCGAATACGAAACTGAATTGTTGTGTCAACTATGCTGAACAACTTTGAAAATTGTTGACCAATATTCATTTTCATATGACCATTCATACGAATATTTCCGACAGATGAACAAACGAAGAAACTTGCTAAAGATTTTGCTGAACAAATTCAGGAAAACGATTTGATTCTTTTCTATTATTCGGGTTGTGTTTATCAAATGAATGAGAAATATTATCTAATTCCAATTCAAAATCAACATTTGATTAATGAAGAGATGATCTCAGACCTTGCAACTCATCTGCAGGCCATCTTTCGACATTTATTCAAAGAGAAGAAACAACTATTTGTATCAATATTCATTCTCGATTGTCGAAAAACGTATTCAACAGGTTTGAAACCATCGAAACAATCATCAAATCATTGATAACTTATTCAACAAATCTTTACTAAAACATCTCGATCGGATCAACATCGATGTTCGACACGTTCTTCAAACAATTTCAATTGAAGACTATCTCGAAAGAAATCAACAACAGAGGCCTCTCGTCATCGGTGGCTTAAACCGAACTCAACCAATTTATCTCAATGAAATCTCACACCCTTACTCGCAGTGGGATTCGCAAGGATTGACGATTGCTGGTGGGAATAGATGTGAATATTCTTTGGATCAACTGTAGTTCGCGCAGAGTTTATACGAAAACAAAGATTTGTTCGTTGTTAATAAGCAAAATCATCGGATTATGAAGTATAGCAAAGAAAAACGGATTGACAAAAGAATTTTTGCAAGAAACTTTTGTGGAAATGCAATGAATCAATTGAGTGAACCTTCAGATATTGATTATGATCAAAAAGGCAAATTCTTCTTCATCTGCGATCGACAGAACCGAAGAGTTCTCCGATTTTTCAGTGAAAATTCGAAATCGAGCAAAGTTCCTCTCCAAAAAAATCGATTGTTTTGGAATAACAATGGATAATCAAGAAAATGTGTACATTTCTGATACAAACAAATATCGCGGATGAACACAAAAAATGTCATCGATTACATCAATTGAATCATCCAACATTTATCTGCGTGGATGATCACCAATCGATTTGTATTTCTGATTCAGATAATCGTCGAAATCATTGAATTATGTGGTTTTTCAAAGATTCATTACATGGACAAATCATTATTCAGTATAATGAACATCTGTGGTCACCTGAAAACAAAACATCAACTGTTTGCTTCGGGGAAAATCATTTTTGATCAACAAGAAAATCTTTATATTATGGGCAAGTTTAATCATTAAATTCAGAAATTTACTAAGAAATTTTCATTTTCGAGTTTGTAATTGGGCCAATTGAGTTTGGTTTTGAGTGGCTTCATGACCGAACAATTGTGTGACAATACCAATACGACGATTTCGAACAAGATGTATCACATTGTAAAATTCTTGACGAAACAATTGACTTGATAGACAATGAACATAGAATGATGCCTAAAAGAAACAAACTTTCTGATGAAATAACAAATCTTTCTTCATCCTTCTTACTGCATAATCGATCGAAGCAATCAAAATGGCAAAATTGTTGAACTGAAATAGTTGTTCCAATGTGAGTCTCGATCGTAGAACATAGGTCATGAGAATGTAAAAGAGACTCAATGGAATCTGAGTGATGAAAAACAGGATGATGCTTGAGATCATGATCAACAAAATTTGTCGATCGAGAAAAACACGACGACGGCCACCACCATCACTGCGTCTTAACTGTGTCTTTTTTTGCTGTTGTCGACGAAGTTCAACAAACATGCTGATACTGAATGCTAAGAGAAGTATTGTTGGCAGGATTATTTGAAGAATTGTGATTAGTATTGGCCAAATCTTCAAAAGACAAATCGGGAAATGTTTTCTAGTATTCGAATGAAGAATCTTACCGTTGAGTAGAAATACTGATATGCTGCACTTGCTGTTGAATAAGTGGAACAAACAGTCGCATCACCAACAACTCCTATGAATGGTGAAGCCAGATGAGAGTTGAGAGCAGCAGAGACGATCACAATGACACATGCACCGATGGTCACTCGTTGTCGTGTGCACAGTTCTTTGACTCGGAATGGAAATCGAACGCGAAGCCATCGATCAATGGTGATAGTTAACAGAAACCAAGCTGTACAACACATACAGAAGTATTGAAGAAATGAATAAGCACGACATAGTTGATTCATCATATTCTTGTTTTCTCTTGAAACATTGAGGCCAAGAAAAATAAATGTATAGAAACATGCGAGGAGATAAATGAGATCGGATATTGTCATATAGATGAAGAGTGTGCTTGTTGATACTTTGCAAAGAGTTGGACGACGAAAGATAGTTAAACTCATCGAATGACCAAAAAAGCCAAAGATGAAAAGAACTAAATAACCATAAAGAGCAACGTTTCTTTGTAGAGGTGTGATAGCAGATGAGCCAGATCTTGAGGGTTGACCCAATCCACCACTACCGTCACCGAAAGAACTTCCATTGCTACTGTTGCTGACATTCATCTCTATCTAAATAAGTGTAAGAGACAGTGATTCTAATGAATATCAACTAAATGTTAACTATCGCAGAAGTGTGCTCTATAGACGAATGAAATGATGCACGTCACTTGACTCTTTATGATAAGTCTCTATATATAAAAGAGAAAAATATAGCGATAGAATGACGTTCTGAAAAGTCTAATTAAATTGTTTTAACATACAAAACTCTACGTGTATCCGAGAAAAAGAAGCTTATCATAAAAAAGTACATCGTCGAAACAATTGACATTTAGTTGGATGTAGAGACGACGTCGACAAAATCTGTGACGCTAATCTAAAATAGTCTTTTTATAATTTTCTTATTGTGAAGAACATGAAAAGTGTTTACAAATGCTTCCATTGGAAACGCTTGGCCACACTTCACTCTCAGAACGACAGACTATCTCTAAATGAGAAATCTTTACTCTAGAGCAAATAAAATCAAGACCCGATATGTCAAATTTGTCTACCGTTAAGTCGACTACCTGAGCCATCGAAGAACATGGCGACACATCATTCTGCTTCTCATTACTTTAAGAATGATAAAACCTTTTTCGAAAAAGAGTAATTATTCTTAAAAACGTGACGTTTTTTCATTTGAGGGAATTGTAATCCAGGTCGATAAATCCCATACTCGGATTCTGTCGGATCTTATCGGAATCCGACAATCCGATGGTTACGGGCCCCATGTCAGATCCGAAACACGGATTTTATGGATTTTCTACGGATCATCAAAGAATCTAGCTAAAAATAACGCTCATAACATTTGCAACAAATGACTAAATTTTTCCAGTCGGATTCCGATGCAATTCCGTCACCAGGAATCCTATCAGATTTCGTCGGATTTGTTGACTTGCGAAGAGATCAATGATGTATTTCTGTTTCAATTTTTATCTCTGACAACACATTAACATCATTCTAATGGAAACAGCTACTTTTGAATATTTTCCACAAGAATGATCATCTCTCCTTCCATCTGGTGGCGTAACCAAGAGTGAGCTAGGTTAGGCGCCGTCCAACCACCTGCCAGTTCTTAAAAACTGTTCTTTTGTGATGACAGATATAATCAAATACTAATCATTTATATTCACCCATATCTGTTCTTATATATATTAGGTTGTCAACAAAGTTGGCGTTTTTTTTCAAAAATTTTATTTTTATTTTTTCACTTCAAAAGTACAACTAGTTTCCAGATATATATTTGCCATTGCTATCTACCACTTGTCGCCAACGTTCTGGTAGAGACATGATTCCGCACTCGTAGAAGTCTTGGGATTTTTCATCAAAGAACTTGATAAGTTCCGTTTTGACGTCGCTCTCGTCCTTGAACTTTTTATGGGTCCGGTACACTTTGCCGACAAATCTTTTTGCTAAAAATTTCAAAACATAAAATTTTATTTAAAACGAAATCCCGAGAGTATCCGATGCAACATTCACCTTTAACCATATTTTCTACCATAGCTACAATATTCTCCCTTAATTCTTCTCCTACATCCTCATCTAGGTCTCCCCTACAGCCTTATCTAGACTTCCTCTGCACTCTCATCTGAATCCTGATCGTCAAAATAATGTTGACCACACAAGTTTAGATTAAAATGTGTTTGTCGGCAAAACGGCGTCGGCAAAGTGATTGCGACCCCTATATATATATATATATACCCTTAGTATGGAAACTTCTAGAACTTTCTAGGTTACTCTACAAGATTTTAGAAAAAAAAACCCAGAACTTTCTTGACAACTCAATAATTAAGTCGTATAGTCAGTTCAACGTTGAACAAACTAACTTCAACCAACAGAGATCAGATTGAAATCATCAGAATTTATTGGAAACTATCAGAGCTATTAAAATCACGAACTCTGTTTGCCCTTCATTCGATTTTGTTGAAGTAAAACTATCTCATTTTGTTTTATTAAACAAGCTAAATATTATTTTTGAAACTATTCTATTGATACATACACAGAGAAGAAAACCGAAGCTTTTGCGATCTGAAATTCCTAAAACATTCAAAAAATATCCAAAATTATTTCAATAAACTTTAGTCACTATCAGCATTTCTAATGAGAATTTTCAGCAGAGTGCGGAACGCGCACTTTGTTTTTTTTAATCAACTTTTCGTACACTCTGAAATTTTTGGCAAAGTATACAAAGTTTGTATAATCTGAAAAACAAAAAGTCTAAACTTTTTTCATTTGAAAATTATATATATAATTACAGAGACATGCATTGGCGGGCCGGGGGTTTTTGAGTATGGTATATTTCAGCTTTAGAACATGGGACCAAGATGAAACTTATGGAAGATGATAAGGAGACCAAATGGTCACTTTTTGTGAAAAAATTTTTGTGATTGATGTTTGCGAAAAAAAGATCAATTTTTTAGCTGCCCCCCCNTAAAGTCGTAAGAAAATTTCATGTTCAAATCAATTCGTCCTTTTTGACCTTTGACCACGCTCTGTGAGAAAGTGTCGAAAAACATCGTTTATCTTTTCCAAGGAAAAGTATTTCTTATGATAATTGACAAATGTCAACATTAAAGAATCTTTTTCGGTAATTAGAGAAGAAGATAAGAAACAGATCATCTCTTCCATATCGAGAAGAAAAACAGTCAATTATGGAGAATCTTCATCCAGAACAACAAGAATTTACAAAAAGCAATCAAATACGAAGAAAATCTCTTCAACCCATTGATCGACATCAAGATGAAATTGATTTTCAACAAAGAACTTATATCAATGCAGGAATTGATTCAACTTGGTTTGTTTCAATGTTTTCTCCAACAATTTTTTTTACTCTTTCTTTCGCTTTCTAGTGGAATCAAAAAACTCAATCGAGACAAATTCACGTCGCATGAAAATCTCTCCTTTTAATATCAGAAATGTGTTATGAGACACAAAATATCATTTCTTTACGAAATAAAAGAAAATAAATTTGTGAGATGTTTTAACAGATAACGAAAGGATAAAGACCTCTGATGTTCACCATACTTATACGAATATCCTGATAATTTCTTGAAGAAGAATGGAAGATTAAAAATAAATAATTCATGAATCAACTGATTTCATTGCGATGAAAAATGGAAAAAAACAAACCGAGAAAGCGATTTTTCTTCCTAATTCAATAATGCTATCAGTGTGAAGTTATAACACAATGAAACAAAGGCTTAGCTAAAAATTCGTTGAACATAATGCTCTACATAAATAATTCGTAAATATAAACTCCATTTGATTTTCAATCTTTTGTATCATAAGTGGACTTTTTGGCAATAAGAAATTGAACAAACTATAATACAACAATTCCATATTAAATCAATCGTCGATGACAATGCGTTCGAGAGTATTTTTTAGATTAATTTCACTTTCGATTTATTTTGTTCAAAGTAATTTTGTTTCACATAGAACTATGATAACCAAATTCGAAGTTCGGTGCAACTTGGAAAACGTATTTGACATATCTTATAATTTAACAGTTGTTCATTACCACCCTTGAATATTGCTTCTTCAATTGATGCTTCAACTTTTGGGTTACGTCGTAGTAAACTATATTTATTGATAATCAATTGAACAAGTCGATCAATTGTATCGATAATCTTTATCACAAATCGGACGAGATTTTCATTGAAGTATAAATAACGTCCACTAGTTTCGAAACAACATATACGAGGTAATAATTGAACGAGAAAGTCAATATGAATGTATGTATTTGGATCTTTACTACTTTTGTTTAGTTCAAGACGTAAATGTTTCACATTTGTATTGGAATGTGAGCAAAGAGATAAATCTTCCCATTCTACAGTGAGTTGTAAAAGACAAGGCGACATTTGAAGTATTTGATCAATAATGTAAGCACGTTCCGATCGCTTGATTACCTTAGGTTGAAAGTAAAAAACCACCGAACGTAACCAAGGAAAACGCAAAGAAGAACATGTTGAAAAAGATTGATTGTTTTGGAGAAATTTCTAAAAGAAAAAACAAAGTATTAAAGATGTGTGTTGTATGTCACATATTTATACGTTAATCTCACAACAATCATCACCCATCAATTCATATGTATATACTAACTTTCATTTCGTAGAATTGTACAACAAGTGTATCTACATATCCAGTAGCCAGTTTATTGAAGGTATCGGTGAACTGAGTAACATTGTGTATCTCATTACACTTCCATCCAATTCGATCTCGATTGATTTGCAATGAATGCTGTGCAAATGAATGACTGTAAATTATACATGTATATTGTAGTAATATATCCAATGGTAAAGTGTAGAGAAGAATGACTCTTGTCTTTTTTTTACAGATACCGTAACAAGGAAGATCTTGTTCTTCTATGTGATAAGCGAGGTTATTGAAGGGTCATGTGATATCAAATCTATTGACACTACTTTGTTGAAATTCTTCATGAAGATATTCAGGAAAGCGAAGGAGAAAGTGAAATTGTTTCAAACAAGGTAAATATTTTCGATTAATAATCTGACGAAACTCTTCGTAATGTTCAAGTGCTACAATAAGGATAGATTTTCTTATAAAACATAGCAGTAGATTGTTTTTGACCTACTTTCATGAAATATTTCAACAAGTATTAATTTCTCCAACAAAGGCATATTGAGAGAACGGATTAGAATTATTACATTATGAAGAGCCATATGACGTAGAACAACAGTTCGAAGTCGACTTGCATCAGTCATTTGGCGAATATCTTTTTCACAAAATTCAATTTGAGGTTGTGGATGTTTTAAATATGGTTCTTTGATACATTTTTCATGTTGAACGGTTATATACAAATATTGAAGAGACGGCATAGCATTATTTTGAAGAACAAATATAATTTCAAATGGAAATTGGACGGTCAAAGTCAATTGTACAGTAAGTGGTCAATGAAGATTTTCCAGTTCAGGTAACGAGGGTCATTTGTTGTTTTCATTATGACAATCTTAATAGATAAATTCAATTTCCTTCTCAATAAGCATAAAAAGCAAAAGAAGAATCTGGATTGTTGAGAATAACTTTTCGTAAAAGAAGAAGATAATTTGAGGTGAGAAGGATCTATTGAAGTCGATTATTATTAATATGAAAAAAGGCATTGAAAAAATCAAAAGATGATAAATAATTGAATATGTACAAATATAAGTCATTTGGTAACGATTCGAATTTAGAAATATTCATCTCACTGTCGACTATTTTGAAAGGTATTGACATCTTGTTCATATATAAGTCATAATGAAAAATACTCCAATCATATTCATGCTCTATCAATGTTTCGTAATGATAATCTGAATGTTTTTCTATTCGTCAAAATGGAACGATCATTTTTCAAGAACGAATGAATTCTTTGTTCAATATTTTGCTTTCATTATATCGTACAAAATTCTGATTACCCAGTCAGACAAAAATTTGGAAAAATGCTTTTAAATACACAAAAGAGAACCGCGATTGTGAGCTATTAACGTTCAGTTGAAACACGTTCGAACACGCGTTTACTGGGGTTTTTTCTAACTTTCTCAGCGTTTAAACATCAGAATTTTCCTTTCTTTAGCGTGAAAGCGCGTTGTTTTTTAGAATTCTATATTAAAAGACCGCTTCTCTACGTTGGAAAAAGGAAAGTTCTGATGTTTAAACGCTGAGAAAGTTAGAAAAAACCCCAGTAAACACGTGTTCGAACGTGTTTTAACTGAACGTGAATAGCCCACAACCGCGGTTCTCTTTTGTGTGTTTAAACGCGTTTTTCCAAATTTTTGTCTGAGTGGGCAGCAATAAATTGTGTTTTGGTTTTTTTGTTATTTCAAAAAACGTTTATGCCAAACTATCATCTTTCACTTTTGTTTTTAACAGAAAAACATTCAATATGGATGTACTTATTTGGACAGAAAATAAAATGAAAACGTCAATTCGCGTCACATCTGAAAGTGTTAGCCTATCATCATCTGCTCATCAACTTATTCATTTTTTTTTCTGCCTGAATGCCCTTCATCTTTATAATCTCATCGTACTATAATCGAACTTAATGAATTACCTGAATACGTAATTACAATGAAACAAATCAATGGTGAACGTTTGAAATCTTTGATAAAAAATATTTCGTTTTCATGATCTCCAAACTCAGTTAATCAATGATAAATACAATCTATGAGATACAATGCGAAGGTTTTTGAAGGAAATGATTTATCAAAAAAAACATAAGAATTCTACATGACTTTTTTGGTTCTCGATTACACAAATTTTTATTAACAAACAGTTCGGAACGTTGCAGTGAATATTTTTCGATGGTGCAAAAGCTTCTATTGGCATTGTTTTATTAGGTGAAAATGTTTTATCAGGAAAATCAATTCATTAGATTCATTATGTTTTTAATATCGTGTCCAACGAGAATGTGTTGTCTGGGTTTATTGAAAGATATTCATGTTTAACATGACGTCTCTGCAAAAAACTAATGAAGTTCTGCATTGATTTGTTGCAGTGTTTCATCATCGACACCTAATGATTTAAGATATTGAATAAATGATGAAAATTGATCAGTCAAAAACTTCCAATTAATACCTAAAAGATCACACAAAGAATTCCATACACGTTTGAACAAATGCATATTAGGTTCTAATGGACGTGGATTGTCCAACATATGCTGACAAATCGATTTCCATAGATTTTCATTAGTTTCTTCTCGCAATGGTTGAAGCAATTGACCGAATCGACCACCATCTTGAGCTGTACCACAAACAATATCCGAAAAATGATATGGCTGAAGAGCGGCTTTGTTTTCATTATTTAAAATCCAAGAATTCATTGGTTCATCAGCTTCACAATGACCAACAAAAAGAATTGATGGTGTTTGATTATTTAATAAAGTTTTGGAAAATAACATATGATTTTTTTCAAATGAATCGGTTAATCGTCCTTTTGGCATAACAAAAAGAACACAATTAAAACCACGTTTATTTCCTCTAATAAATTTAATTAACATTTTCATTGCTTGTTTTGCTGTTACAGTTCCATTTGCACCTTCATTTAAACCAACTGTATCAATTAATTCATAAATTTCACCTTGATGTTCCGCTTGATAAGTATTAAATTCGAATGTACATCCTTTCGCACTATCGCTTACATTTGCCACCTTTTTTCCGGCTAAAAGATTAATTAAACTACTTTTTCCAGCACCTGTTTGACCAATAACAAGAACACGATTAACACTTGATTTGGTTTAGAGTTGTTTTA